TGAAATACAGGCCAAAGCTCGTGTCCACCAAGATCAAACTCATGAATACCTGGGCATAGCAGGCTCCCCGGTCTTAATAGAACAGGCTCAATTACTCACCTTCGGATCCAAAATTACCGCGAGACTCAAATACCAAAGTATCGCCTCCATACAGACAGTCTCGGGGACAGGCGCCAACCACATGGCCGCCCAGTTCCTATCCCAGCATCTGCGCCCGGCCCGGGTCTTTATTCCGTCGCCAACATGGATCAACCACAGAACCATCTGGGCGATGGCTGAGGTGCAGGTTCACGATTATCCGTACTATGCACCACAGACGCGAGCCGTTGATCTGGCAGGCATGCTCGCTGTGCTGGAGAACACCGCTGAGGCCCGCGACGTGGTGATTTTGCAGGCGTGCGCGCATAACCCGACAGGGGTGGACCTCTCGCAGGCACAGTGGGCGCGAATGATGGATGTCGTGAAGCGGAAGAAGCTGTTTGTGGTTTTTGATATTGCCTACCAGGGCTTTGCCACCGGCGACATTGACGGCGATGCGTGGTCAGTGCGCTATTTTGTCGAGCAGCTGATTCTGAATGGCCCGCCGGAGCACCCTGGTCTGTGCGTAGCCCAGTCCTTCTCCAAAAACTTTGGGCTGTACGGCGAGCGCGTGGGCGCTCTTCATCTTGTCGTACCCCAGCATCTCTCGGCGCAGGGCGCCCGCTCGAAACTAGTCGCCCTCGCCCGCGCCGAGTATTCCAATCCGTCGCGCTTCGGGGCCAGTCTAGTGGAGACGGTCCTAGCGGATGCAACACTGCGGGCACAATGGGAGCGGGACTTGGAGACTATGAGCTCGAGGATAAAGACTATGCGGCGCGAGCTCCGAAAGAAACTAGAAGAGAACGGGGCCCGGGGGGATTGGTCGTTTATCGAGAGTCAGATTGGTATGTTTAGCTATCTTAGCATAGATCGAGACCAGGTTGATCGCCTGAAGAGGGAGTTCCACATTTATCTCCTGCCCTCGGGCCGGGCGAGTATCTGTGGGTTGAATAGGAAGAACATTGACTATGTGGCAATGGCAATCGCGCAGGTCCTTGGGTCGGGCCACAAACAGTCGCGACCGAGTTAGGTTGGGGAGAAAGGATGGATAATGACATATAGTTCTTTCGGTAGAAATCGTGACATTGTCTGGAGTTTGAGAGAAAGTGACTGAATTGTACATGCTAAACTCACAGCATCGATCCCAGCTCTTGCTTATATCCAAAGATGTACGCGGTTAGTACTTTAGTTTATCAAATAGGAAAATGTAAGACGAGCTCGCCAGCCTTACTAGAATGAGACCGCCCTCTTTCTCTTCCGCACCAAACTGAAGATGGATGATGAAAGTGTCCTTGGGTCGCCAATAGCTTCTGGATGCAGAAACCTTTCTACCATACAATCCACACTAGGATCATGCCAACGTGGTCATATTCCTGGTGGTCCTCAGTCCTTTCCATAGACCCCGGAAAAGGAAAGTTCCATGTTTAGGCCACCTGCAGAGGTTGAGGAATTCGCTGATCGCTGGGATTGAGAAGGGATTGTGGGGAGGTGAGGTTGGGGTGGGGGCTATGTTGCAATATTCTTTTCTTCTGGATAGGCTGGGGAAACATGCGCAACATATCCAAATCGGCATATCCACAAATTAGACAGTACTCGCAGTGTAGGTTGGGATAAGTATCACTGTATAGGGTCATATTACAGACTACAAGATAGATTGCAAAGAAAAGGTACTACTCGGAGTATTATCCGAGAGTGCTTGGCTAGGTTATTATAGCTAGGAAATGTCGGGGCATAGCCAAACCACAACAGACAGCTCGGTTCAGAGGAAAGTTGATTGTTACAGCATTACTGGTGGATACAAGGAAGCTGTACTGTATATACAAAGTGAAGCCTAGGTTGGTTTTCGGTCCACCTCTTACTGTACGTACAGAAAGCAGAAAGTGCAGGAGATGTTTCTATGTTGCATCGGACAGTAATCTCCTGCGGGAAAAGGCATTGTCCCTCTACTCAAACCAGAATTTGTTTCGACGCTTAAGGCTCCCCGGCGGCAGCTGTCGGCGAAAAGGTTGTCCAAGTAAAATGCCTGCATTCCACCATGAAGCTTCCCCGGGTAGTAGTAAATACGTTGTCGGCGTTCAAGGCTGGTCATATATTCAGCCTCTTTGCCAAGGTCAACCGTCCGGATAATCAGCTGTAACCACCCATCAGGGCTTTCTTCAGTATATCACCCGGGAGACACTTGGACGAGACACACGTAACATTAGTGACATCCGCCTGATATATAGATGATCCAAACTGTACCTTTCTGGAACTGCTCTCTTCCACATTCGCAAGTGGAGAGTGGAGCGCGCTCCTGTGGTAAGCTGCCGTTTAGCAGTGCTTCTGAGCAGCCTGTAACTGGCTCCATAGTGCTGTCGTCAGAAAGGCGCGCATCGTTCCGAGACGATCTTTTCGCAGAAGGGACTCTCTCTAGACTTTCTCAATGCCAGTCATAAGTCTGCTCGAAGACACCAAGGCACTTAGTCTTACGACTTATATACCCCGTCCTGCAATAGATCGGCTAGGCATTGTATGGATCTACGAAATTCCAGTCAGTCGCAGGAGCTGTATTAAGGTGTCCATCTTCTTTCCGCCCATGATTCCTGGTTCGTTCAAGGCTTTCCTAGCGCACATCAGTAGGAGTATTTTTGAATGTCTGGGTTGAACGCCTGGCATAAAGAATCAACGTTTCTACACGGGCTGGAAGTAGAATTGTGGGCCCAGGTGACTAGAGCCGGATTGGCACCTTTCCAAGAAGCTCTAGAGCGCAGCGAAACATTGGACGAGTCCTTTGCGAACGTTGTCACAGATATCATCGACTTTTCCACCTACTTGCACCGTTTCATGATAGTAATACCTTGCAGTGTTTACCACATCTTTCTCTGTCGCCTCAGTGAGAAGTTTACCTTCCTCACCTCGCTTTGGATACTGCTCCAAGTCTTTGATGACGAGCCGCGCATTAGTCTTGTCCCCTTCACGGTGGGCTTTCCAGCAGGTTGTGGCTCTGCCAGCAACATATGGGACCCGCTTGACGAATCCGTCGAACATAAGACGCTCCGGCTGTCCGTTGCGTGTAATGTTGATGGATTTCCTCCAATCCGATGTGCACATGATGGTGGGGTCATATCCTAACTGTGTATCATTCATCAGAAGAAATCCCAGCATGGCTGAGACAAACCGGAGCCCATCCTCATGGATATTGAAGGGAGACGACGCGACGGCTCCCGCGCGATCAAACTCCCACAGTCGCGTAATTGACCCACACAGAGTAAAGCCCAGGGCAAATCGCTGAGTGTCTTGGGTAGTGAGAACCTCTCTTGCATAGCGTCCCAGATCTCGCCACGTTTTTGGGTTACTCTTCAGCACCCCTTGGAACCAGAATCTGCGACTAATGAGATTTTGGACCTGTCACGTGCGAATCGCAAACGATGCCGATATCCAGCTTGCAGTCAGCGGCAGACCCTGCCAACGGTCGATGAGGCTGTGCCAAAACCGTACGCTGAGATGTTTCGGTAAATTCTTCTTCAGCGGCCATGTCCCGAAGATTGTGGACCCAACTAGAAAGCCAATCTAAGACTTCCCTCCCCCTGGTACTCTGAGGCCAATCTCGGCATCCAGTTTCATTGACAAGGGGTTATTTTGTCTCCTGGCACCTTCGAGATATAGTCGATCCTGCTTCTTCCAGCCCTTCGATGCCCCCGAAGTATGCATCATAGAAGCCCTGCACACCGACGTAGATTCACCCAAGTTCTTCTATTAGCACGGCGTCTATGTGATTTCGCTGTTCGGAGGAATTCACAAAGCTACTCGTGGTATGGAGAAATGGCGCTTGGTCAAGAATGGAGGAGTGGACTCGACAAGAAGAGCAACGATCTTAATCCAAATGCCTTCATCTGACTCTTCATTAATAAGGGAAGTAAGCAGTAGTATTAGGCGCTCGGTTTCGAAGTTTACCAGCTACTAAAGAAGTCCAGATATCTGCTGGTGAACTAGTCATCGATCATGGGGACTTCCATGTGCTGGAGCGCCAGCTCGATACGATATTCAAAGTCGCAAAGCACTTCAATGCAGTCCTCCTCTTGGACGAGGCAGAGCGTTCATGGAACAGCGTACCTCCTATCTTGATGCGCATAACCGCCTTCTGACCGTTTTTCTTCGGAAACCGGAATACTATGCGGGCATTCTTTTCCTTATTTCGAACCGGGCCATTGAGTTTGATGACGCGATTCTGAGCCGCATCCATCTTAAAATCAAACATGAGGACCTGGCTACCGAAAGTCGCCGAGAGATCTGGGCCCATTTCCTCTCCAGAACCCATACCCCTGGGGGGCCTAGCATTATCAAAGGCGATGACCTCCGGCGCATAGAGTCCCTTGATTCAAAAGGACGAGAGGTAATGTACCGTTTAACGCAGATAAATACGTCTACTAACGGCATGGACCAGATCAGGAACCTAACTTCCATTGCACATGCACTGGCTACGGTCGATGGCGAACGGATGAGCTATAATCACCTGGAAATTGCGGCAAAAGTCGAACGAGAAATTCCTTGAAGGAATTCAGCAGGCCAGAGCATCTCGAGAGCATGTACACCTGATATGCTAGCAATGGCGCCCAACAGCGAACTTTTGAATACGCCGAGCAGAAAACAGCCCAGGCTACGCAGGACACTGTATGTCCACGGAGGTTGAGTTCTCTGCGCCCTGCCGCCTCTGATGTTTATCCTTTGACCATCCAAAATGAGCTCACCTAGCCTGACATCCAATATGCTGCCAGCCGAGGCGTTGCTCGAATCGTTCATCCCCGGCTACAGATTCTTGGCTGAGCTTGTCTCTTTCTATTTCCGTATTGGATATTATAAAAACACCCTTTAATTAAAGGCAACCATGAGACCCTTGTATGCAGATGCACAGACGATGCGCCAGCTATTCCCGAAATGGAAGAGCTTCGCGAGGCTGAGCAGCGCAAAGCTGAAGCAAAACTGAGGGGTAGCAGCGGGGCATCCCACGACAAGGACAAAAACGCACTTTTTTCCCCTTCCCAAAGACTGCGAGGCTCGCTCATCACCATGGCTGTGTTTACAGATAAATCTTCTGACGACAAACTCTCTTCACTCTGGCATGCTGCCTGCGACGACTATGCCGCGGAGACCGGGATTCCGTTAACTGACGTTGAGCTCCCCGCGCTCCGCGGTCCTGAAGACCTCTCTCGCCAGCTGGAATCGGAGAAGGACAATTTCGAAGACTTTCGAATGAAGAGACGACCCCTTTTGCACGCAATGCAGACTGTTCTAGCACCATTCGAGAACTGGGGCGATCTCATCGCGGGCGTTGCTTCTGCGGCGTTCCCCCCGGCGTCCTCCATCATGGGGGCCATGTTAATTCTTGTGCGCGGCGCACGGAAAGTCAGTGAGGCCTTTGATATGATCACGGAGTTGTTTCGTAAACTCGGCCATTTTGCGCTGCGGCTGGATTCGTACAAGGGGGTTCCGCTTAGTGAGGGGATGAAGACGATCATTGTGAAGGTGTTGGTGAATTTTTTAAGGGTTTGTGCGGCGTCGCAGAAGGTGGTGAATCCGGGGTCGCTGCGGGCGAGGCTTTCGAAGTGGGCGAAGAATATACTTATCGAGGATACATCGGTTAATTCTCTGCTGGGTGAGCTGGAGGAGTTGACGAGTCAGGAGCATATGATGGTGTCGGCTCACGGGCTCAAAATAACTCATCAGGCACTAAGAAACACGGAGAAGTTGCTTGAGAGAGACGACCGCAGGAAGGACCGGGAGGAACTAGAGAGGGTGAAGGAAGCCCTGGATCCTGTGTCTGCGTCGAGCCAGGTTTTCTATTCCATCAACGAGAATCGCATACCGGGGTCGGGGAGCTGCATAGACAACACGCTTCGGACTTGGTGGGAAGGAACAGCGCCTCTCCTTTGGCTTCATGGGGGTCCTGGGGTGGGTAAGTCCCATATCGCGTCAAAAATCATCACCCAGCTTTCGAACGGAGAGCTCTCTGACACCGCTGCTCCCGTGGTCGCCTTTTTCTTCTGCAGGAACAACGATGTCGACCTACGCTCTCTCAATAAAGGTCTGCGCACCCTGGCATGGCAAGTTGCCACACAGCGATCGAGCTTCGCAACGCATGTGGAGGAGTTCTGCCTGAAGGAAGACCCAGGAAATACCTATGCCGTGTGGAGGAAGCTCTTGCTTAAGTACTTCACCCAGGTTCCTTCACACGCCACGTGTTTTGTCATTGATGGCCTTGTTGAAGCTGAACCGGAGGAACAAGAAGTCTTTTGCAGCCTAATGGGGAAGGCTTTGTTAGAAGAAGATGATACGGACAAAAGACCACCCTTGCGGATTATAATTCTGAGTAGGGACTCGGTGCGCGGCCTGCTCGAGGAGCACTCCCTCGGCTGGATTCCGGATATTGAAATTGGGAACGACGAGAACAAGGACGATCTTCACGACTACGTCTATCAGAAATTAAAAAAGTCTAAATTGTTTCGAGGCTGTCCGGACTTCCAAGAGGACATCGTCAAGGAGATCAGCCAGGAAGCCGAAGGCCTCTGGGAATGGGCTAATCTCGTCATCAAATCTGTCCTGCGCTGCCGGACCAAGGAGCAGATCCGAAAGGTGGTCAGGACCATGCCGCGTGGAATCAGCGCAATGCTGAGTCAAGAACTGCAGCGGCTCAGTAAGGAGTTGTCGGTATTGGATGAAGCGGATGGTGGCGAGAAATCAGCCGGGGAAACAGTCACAACTCAGATTGACCAGCTCAATATCGTGCTCTCCTTCATGGCTTTGGCGCAAAAGCCACTGACGGTGCAGCAGCTCCATAACATTTTAGAGATCATGTTGAAAGAGGAGGTCTTGAATCTTGAGGATGATATTCGTAACTTATACTCATCCCTTTTTCTGATCCGGGCTAGCAAGGACGAACGCGACTTTGAAGAAGACTTTGTGATACTTAGACATAGCTCCTTTTACGAATTCTTCAGGACATCTCAGGAGTCTGGGCCCATCCATGTCAATGTCGATCAAACCGAGGCTAACTTCCTATACGTCCTTCTCCACGCTCTCCGAGACAGACACAAGCCCGATTTCTCCAGAGTCGTGAGACAAAGGTTCATCAGATCTTATGCTGAGAAATTCCTGCCATCGCATCTAACGCGTGCAAATCCCGAAAAGGCTGGGAATCGACAAGAAGAAATCTCAACCCTGTTTGAGGATTTGTTCAGCAAGAAAGAATACCAAGGCTGGTTGGTTCAGGTAGTACAAATGAGGGACTATGCCAAATATTGCGATTACCCAACATCAGAAGTCTCCGACCTCGGCTTGTTCTGGTTGGATACTAGAGACCGGGACGTTGCGAACAGAAGAGCAGAACTAGTCATCAATTGGCTTGTCCCAGATACGAAACAGACTTTTGTAGATAATGCCCGCTTTCGGAA